CCAATATATAAATATTGTTCAGGATTCTACTGAAAAATGCCTTTCCGATGGTATACTTGAGTGACTCCAGGGCGAGGAGTCACTCAAGTAAACAATTACCCATAATGCGGCCATGATATCTACAGACAAAGAAATTTTAATTTAGTTCAATGTTAAAATGAAGCATAGTTTCAAAATACATTTTAAAAATAACTAAAATACAAACCTCAACTTGATAAAGATATGTTTTCCAAATAGAGAAAGGCTCAGCGTGGAGGTTGGAGTTATCCTATAGGGAATCATATTACAAGAATGAGATAAAACATGCTCAAAGTAAAAATAAATAATCAAGGGATCTTAGAGATATAAGTAAAGCTACACTCACCGATAGAGCTTGCTATACAATCAAGATATAAATCGACAAACAAAGCTGTCCCAATAGAAAACGTAACCTGTAAAGAACAACACACGAGTCAGATGTTTTTTATTTCGAATAGACAGTGGCACCTGCTATTATTTTCTACTCCAAAACAATCTCACCTGTTTACACTTCATGATTCAATGGTCACTGGCAACATATCAATCAACCATGAAGCCATAAAGTTTCAATAAATTTGCTGCTCAACACAAATCGTAGAGAACGACAGATAGGGCTGATTTATTGCCAACATAAAATCGTAAAAGTGTCATGTGTAGAACCTGTATTACACATGAGCTCAGGATAGGCAACAGTACCGACATGGCTGGCCTACCCGGCGCGTAGCAGGCACTACCGACCGTCAACTAAGAATTACTCTGACTAAGTTTGGTCGATGAGACAGGTGCAGTGCTAGTGCACACTGTAAAAAGCTTACGAACTAAATACTTTGCAACGTTACGAACAATTTGCGTTCTTTGTATTGCAAAGAAATTGTTCGTATTGCAAAGCGATTGTTTGTAAGGCTAGACGGGTTTTAAAACCCGTTCGTAATTACGAACAATCGGTTTGCATTACGAACTATTTGTTCGTAAGCTTACGAACAATTAGTTCGTGATACAACGCTTCAAAATCCTTCGTAAGCTACGAACGTTTTGGTTTACATTATGAACCCATAGTTCGTAAGCAATGTACAGTGCATGGTGTCAGTGCTGGTGGGGGAGGGAAGGGGGGGGGCGGCTCCAGGGGCCTAGGAGCGCAAGGATATACCGTGCAGAGGTTCACAAGAAATGTAATATCTCGAGAACGACAAAAAATACTTTCGACCGACAGTCGTTTCATTAAGAGGACAGTTCAAGCTACATTTTGAGCCATAGTACGCCTTACTCCGTTAACAAACACATTTTTTAAACATAAAGTGAAACTTTAACTTTTAATAACTCTTTTCGACTTTGTCCAAAAAAACACAAAAAATATCACCTTTTCCTCCTCTTTTCATCCTCTAATCGGATGTCAAGTCGGTTTTTGTCGAAATTTTAAGGGGTTCAGGAAAGTCCCAATGTTTGCCAAAAAGTCGTAAAAACAGCACCAGCTCTGTGGCAAACGGTGCGACATATCATAAAAAACAAACTCCTGTGGCAAATGTTTTCTAAAATTAGAGCCCACAACTGACAAGAGTTTCAGATTTTACGTGGAGGTAGGGGGTCTGTCGTTTGTTGAGTTCGTAAAAAGATACCCTTAGAACAACTCACTGTTAATTAGTTTAAGTCCTCATTCCCATTGTAGCAATGGCTGCACTGCTGCGAAAATGACACCCTTTTCTCCCTTTTCAGATACAACGGATCCGACGATGCCTTAAAGATATCGGGTATGCTTTGGACAGATACGACGAGGATGCTTTGTCTGGGATTATCGACGAGGTGGCTGATGATCTAGATAGAGTTGAGGCTAAGCTGTCTTCACACTGCGAAGATTTTGAGAATGGTGTAGGCGACGAAGAGGAGGACGACGAGGAGGCGGAGGAAGACGACGCGGAGGCGGACGAAGACGACGAGGAGGCGGACGACGACGACCTATAATGCGACATATCAATAATGGCTTTATACTGACTGTTGAAAAAGTTTGGTATTTCGTGTATTAGGTCTAATAAATCTTTCTAAATTTGCCGTTCGTGTTAGATGTATAATAGCTCAACAGATTTCAAACAGTACGACCCAAGGGGTCCCCCACATGCCAAGCGGGTGAACAATGAGTTGCGCGAGTGTCCGCGAGTATTTGAAACTGTTTGGCGAGTATCAGCGAGTGTTCGTCTTCTCAATTTTTTCGCGAGTTTCCGCAACACTAAAAGCTTATGAACATATTTATTCATAGCTTACTGAGTTCTGTGTATGTGCTCCGCTTACGCATTTCTTAATCCGCCCGTATGAAAATATTTACACTGGCGTACTACAAAATGCGTCAGCGGAGCACGCACACAGAACTAAGTTATGAACAAAAATCTTGAAGCCTTAGTGTACGCTAGTTGTCGCGATTTATCGCGAGTATCTTGCGAATATTTTTCCTCGTGTACAACGAGCTTGCGGGTTGGCAAAACGTGGCGTGAACTCATAATGTAAAGGAACAATTCTGCTACTTACCGGAACATTTCGTTGCACATCCAGACCGGATGCAATTTGAAAGGAGACAATTTGTGTTATGTTTAACAAAATTCGTGCAGTAAGTAATAAAATGGCGTCGGTCCTTGATTTGCTTAAAAATATTCCATGTTACCGTTTAAGTCTACGCGGGAGACAATTTTGCCTGTACGCTGCCCGGTGCTTTTAAGGTTAGTTTCGTTCCAATAATGCCATAAAACTGTGTGTGCCATAGACTTGCGGTTTTTTGCGTCACGTAGTAGTTTTTTAAGATCTTATGTTCTGAAGAATCGGGCGAACCTGGCCGATGGTCGTGGCTACGAGGTTTGGCAGTAAAATAATGAATGTGTACCGGGTGTTTCATAAAAGACACAGGTGCGAGCGGGTTTGCCTACCCGCTCTGCCCGAAGTCACCATAGCCCCTTGGGTAGGCAAACCCGCCCGCCCCGGTGTCTTTTATGAAACACCCGGTACGCTCAAACCACACACCAAGGATCTTAAAAGGCACAGAAAAATAGCATCGAATTTATGAAGACACCTTCATCCAGGAAAGGTGCAGATCTTAGCGGCACAGAGATGGCCGGACACGGCCAGCATGTTCACGTCCAGGAGCAAGGTAGGTGCCGTCGGCACTGGCAGCACCAGAGGCAGAGGTGGCACCGGAGTGGACGGTCAGGGGGTGCAGGCCGCGGCGCTGGCGCGAACCACCTGGACGAGTGCCGCCAACCACCCGCCCGCGCATAGGCTCGAATGTAGTACAAGTTGGCCTTGTGCATGTCGATTGGGTCTTGCTGGTCACTCAAGGCAAACGTTGCCGCAGCCAGTTGGCGCTGACTGACAGATGAGACTCGATAAGTAGCAGATCAAGCCGGCGCAGAAAACGAGGGGGCAATAACTCTGAATTTAAGTGTACCGCGTGTAACAGCGAATGCGTGAAAGTGTTGCGGGATTACATACCCACCAGGGCTGCAGGGGCCATGGCGCGTTACGGGCGAATTGGTTTAGGCAAACCCGCAACACTGTTGCGCATTCACAGTTTCACCCGGTACACCTGATTCCCAGAATGCATGATATTCCCGTTCATTCCCATTGATTCCCGACGTGATTCACGGGTCGGTGTAAACATGATTTCCACAGTTATTGTCCCCTGCTCGGTAGGAAAGGTCCAAGAAAACGCTTACTTCTAAATAGAATTCGATTTCAGCTCGGGTGATCGAGGGCCGGCGGGACGTAAGGCGGCAGGCTACTTTCCATGGTTCAGGCGACGCGTCTGTCATCCCGAAGGTGCCCGGCCTGCCCAGCCCGGTTGCAACCCCCGAGCCCCCCGCAAGAATGCGCAGCACAGGGGCAACGGGATGGCCGGTCCTGGCCGGGACGACAATGCCTCCCCTCCTCTAGGGTGGCCCAAAAAAAATCAAAATATTCGGAGAGAGCAACGCTGGTCAAAATCGGGTAGTGGATGAAAAATAAAAGCTTACGTGTTTTTTCCTTTTGCTGTGAGATCACTCTAAATAACTGCGCAAAGCCCTTAAACTTTAGACAGGGTCCTAAGTGCATTGCGCGACGTATTTGAACACGAAGTTTTGCTCCGATTTCAATGACACGGGTATCACTTTATTCGTCCTTTTCTGCTGAGAAAGTATATGTTTCTACGCGGGCTGTAGGTGCTACGGTTCAGATTTTATCGCGTTTTTACTTCAGCCGATTTCCAAAAAAGTGCAATTTTTAAGCATTTTTGTCTGTTTTTGAGCCTTAAGCGATCCCAAGCCGACACCTAGGGCTGATATTACTTGTCCTTGCACCAGCCAATATTCTCGGACCCCGACACGGGCATTTGAGTGCATTGCCTACCCTCCAGGGGCACGGAATTCTCGCGAATTCAACACAAAGTTGGACTTTGGGTCAAAATAGCGAACTGAGACGATAAAAATCGATGGCAATGCGCCTACATGCACTCCTTTAGCGTCACAAGGAGCATACAAAAAAATTTAAAATTACTTAAAATTTAAAAAATTAAAAACTTGCTAAAACCTGTTGAATCCTGTCTTTTTTTATTATAAATTTTGCACTTAGTGTTTTTAAAGCATTACCCCACAGGTGGCCTGCTTGGTACAGTGCTCTTAAAATGTGCTGGCGAAGGCAACCTGGACTTGGCGGTATGGTATAAATAGAGCGATTGCAGCTCACAACGAAATCTTTTCTCGCCTGAGTCACGCTGTGGAAAGGACTTTTGAGATCGTACATAAGAACTGTAAATCGTTCTAATGTAGCAAAAGTATCCTCTTCCACATGCATTAATGGGCTGCTCAGGGTTTTGAAGCCGCTGGTTAGCTCCGGATGTTTCTCCCAGACTCGCCAGCAAGTTGGTTTCTTACAACCAGAAAAATATGAAGTAGTGTCACAGCCCGTAAATGCGTGGAAGCCAACGAGTGCCTCAGACCTTTTTAGGCCAAGTGCAGCCCTATTGTGTACAGCAATGTACCGGGCATGCGCTCTGGTACCGTTATGTATTCACAATTCCTGAAAGATGCAAGTATACATTTTTAAAGCAAGGCATACATTTATTCAAGAGAGAGCAATATGCAAATACCATGTTTACCTGCAAACCTAAGGCAGCTAGACGATGATAGTCAGATATTGCCAAAACGACCACGTCGGTGTCGGTTGATCGGACAATGATAGATGTAGCACCATTTTGTGTCATGTCCAATATGCGCGTGACTATTCTTGGGTCGGCCTCCTCCATTGTGAGGCAATGTTGCTCGCAAAGGCAGGTGCTAGAGATGTCACGGGTCTTACATGTTTTCCCCACATTGGTGGCCACCTGGAAGCGCTCCAATTCATTAAGAACCCGGCTGCTTAGATATTGCAAAAGTTCCACTTTGTTTTGCAGAGTTCCGTAAATAGTCATCCCAGTTCTTTGGAAGTGTATCTGTGTAACATAAAAAAATAGTTAAAATACTTGTTTCTTCCGATTTCTTCAATGGAAAACAGAGCTATTACGGCATCGAGACTCACACTGTAAAAAATATTTGTGGGAAAAATCCCACAAATGTATATGAAGTTATTTACATATACATTTGTGGGATTTTTCCCATACACCTGTGAGGGAAAAATCCCACATGCGTGCAGCAGATTTCATAGACAAGTGTGGGATTTTTCCTGTGCCAGTGTGTGGGAAAAATCCCATACGAATGCAGCAGATGTGCTTCACAGGTGTGGGATTTTTACGATACTGCTGTCTAGGAAAAGTACCACATACGTGTAGCAAATTTGCTAGTCTCATGCCTGATTTTCCCTACACTGTAGTCTGGAGGAAATACCGTATACGTGCAGTAAATTTGCTAGTTGGGTGTGGGACTTCTCCAGTACTGGTGTACTGGAAAGCAACCATTCATATGCATTGAATTTGCTAGGCTAGTTTGCCATATGTCCAAGACTGCAGTTGTGTGGGTACCACATGAGTAAATTTCCCTGATGGGTCTGAATTTTGAACCGTGATTGCTGAAAAATCATTCTGGACGCAGGCAAATAATATAGAAAACTTCAAGATAAATTTTTCCACTTTATTATTCTTTTTGAAGGGAAAAGTTCATAAATGTGATAAAAATTATGCTGGATAGGTTTGAAGATCCTGTAACAAAAAAGAACCAAAATAAATAGAAACATAAGAAACTTGCGGTTATCATTTGACTTCAATTCCTCAAATTTACCTTGCTATATTAAGAACAGAAGTTGTTCTCTGGCTCTATTCACAGAACAAATGCCAAATCAGAATTTCTAATTTCACAAAACACAATAAAAATTCCTGTATCAAACAAATTAAAAATTAGGACCATACAAGAAAAATGATAATCTTAGAAGTATACTACTGTAAATAATAGGTTTCATTATAAACTCACCTTGCAAATTAAGGAAAGGTAGCTGCACTTAGCATAAATATATGGATATACTCCAAAATACATAGTAGGCAGCTACTCCATGTCAAATTAAAATCAGTACTTCTACTTAAAGTGATTTAAAAATTCCTGTAATCAAACACAAAGAGAATTAGAATCATACTAGAAAAATGATTATCTGAGAAGTATACTGCTGTAAATAATGGTCTTGATTGTAAACTCACCTTACAAATGAAGGAAAAGTAGCTGCTCTTGGCTTGGCTGCCTGGGATTCTAAAATATTGAGCCAGCAGCTCTATGTCAAATTTCATTAAAGAACACGTAAAAACCCCTGTAATCAAAGCCATCTAGAATTAGAATCACACTATAGAGCAATAACACTCCATGAAGTTCACTGTTATAAAAGAAAGGCTTCATAGCTAGGCTCACCTTGCAAAAGGAAGCATTTCAAAAAATTATAAGGCAGCATTCCATTGGATTGTACAAAAAAAACAAAATAAAATCATAAGGCAGACCAACTGTTAACGACATGAATGTTCTTGGTCCTCTGATAAAATTTGTCCAGATTCATTATTGTTTTCCTGACCAAGGGGTCAAACCCAACCCTACGCTTTTCCTTTGCACCCCTTCTTGCCGCTTCAGGATTAATTTTGAAAATGCCCCTGCAGGAAGAGGATAAAAATTAGTAAAGATGGCAAGTACATACAGAAATGTACAAATACTTGGGCTTACTACCTTTGAATGTACTCCAAAAACTTTCTTCCTTTCTCTGGGTAATGGAAATTAAAATTATAAAATGAGAGAAAGTGGAGCTTTATTGCTTCAACTAAATCTTTAGTAGAAATCAATATCTCTCCTTCGCAAGCTACAAAACATTCGCAGTTAGGATCAAACAATGACCTCCCTAAACAACAAAAGAAAGAAAACAATAACAGTAATTTTTTTTTAAAGAAAAGCCATATGCTTAATGTGGAAAGATAAGAGTACATACCTCTGACGATCAGAAGGGGCCTGTCTACCTCTGCTGAAGTTTTAATTTCATCAAGGTTGGTGCCCGGCTGCAACATTAATGAAAAAACATTTTAAGATAACACTTTTGTTTTCCAATAATATAAATTCAACAAAAATGAAGAATACTCACATCCACTTGTTTCAAAAGACAATCAGAATCCTCCTTCATGAAGATAATAAGCATTAAAAATGCAGCAATTACCAATGGTCTCTGGCTTTCCATACTCTGAGCAGCCTCCTCAGCCTCATTTCGCACTTTGTTTAAGCTTGTCAACAATTCCATATTGCTTGAGGTCTGCTTGGTGGTAATTGCATAGTCCGACAAATAATTGTACAAGATCAGAAAGCGGTTGGAGGAGTCAGCCCACGTCTTCCTGACATCCTTCCCTAGAAGCTTGCTGCTGTGAGCTTGGAAGGGAGTAGGAGACTTCAAGGCTGGCCAGTTGTTTAAAATAGGATGAATACCTCCAGCTCTTCTGTTAATGTGGTGGCGCTGTAGCCAGTAAGACTTCTCAATCAGGTTCAAAACCTCAGGCTCTGAAGTAACTTCCATCAGTTCAATCCTTATTTTTTCAAAGTTTGCTTCCGAATCTGTGGAATTCATTTTGGGTTGCCAAGCAACACACCCATATGAGTCGAGAGTATCACTACATGTATGAGGCCACTTGGAACTTGGGTCCACTGTAAAAAAAATTCTGAAAATTCAGTATATGTTTTTCAGATTTGGCACTCTGAATCTTGGTTTCAGACCATCACACGAAATTTTCTGAGTTTAGACTGAAAATCCAGACTTTTTACTCTGAATCAGGTTTTCAGAGCAATTTGTCTGAAATTTTTGAAGTATATTTTCAGTCTTTACACTGAATTTTTAATTCAGAGTTACCGGTATTAATGTTTTATGGGAAGTCCACCGGGCAGGCGGAGCGAGTACACCAGTAGCCGACGCTGATCCCCACGCAGGTAGCCTGCAGCCGAATGGTTACGGTGGCGGCTTCCTATCCCGAAGGTTGGTAGTTCGATCCCAACCAACGGCAGTACCAAATAGAAAGATGTCTTCCACTTGGGCATAACCCTCTACCTCAACAAGTGTTAAGTCGCTGACTATAGGTTCATTTTTAACATTTTCAAAAATATTTTCATACCGGCTGTCTTAAATTTCAGACTAAGTGGTATGGTAAGGCACTGCTGAAATTTCAGACCTGAGTACAGTCTGAATTTTCAGACTACTGGTCTGTAAAAAAACTTCAGACTGGAAGTACTGAAAATTCAGTAAAACTTTTTTTACAGCATCAGCATCTTCATTCTCTAACTCTATTTCTCTTCTCTTCCTCTTCTCTTTCTTTCCATTTGGCTTAATAAAATTGACTCTCTCATACAAACTGTTAAAAAATGAGGCTCTTCCATCACTTAAAATGTCACCATCTGCATCTCTTATTTGAAATGCGTCACTATATTTATCTATAAGTTCATCAGTGAGGGAGGCACATGTTTTTCTTGAGAAGTCGTTACGATTACTCATGTACAGCGCCAAACTGTGGATGATGTCTTTCTTGATAAAAGAAGTAATGCGACCAGAAGCAAGGGTCTCAGCAACATCCTCCAAAACCCTCCACGGAAAATTTCTGGCATTGGAGACCAGAAGTGGGCGACGTGGAGTAGAGTTTGCTGATGATATAGGTGTTTGACCAACAGAAATGTCAGGCGTAACTGCAATCAAAAGACAAAATAAAATATCTTGTGGTACAAGAAAAGCAGGTAATAGATAGATATTTAAAAAGTACCCATGAGTAGGTTTTCATTGGCGTCCAACTCCTCATGCTTAGGCACAACAATCAGTTCCGTAAGAGCCGGTAGGTCCGCCAGGGCCCCATCCTCGTCAACCTCAGCCCCATTTTCAAGTAGCAACTGAAAGGAAGCAGAGTTTGACAGACAGATTGCTACTCCACATTTCGCACAAGATGCTATCACTGCAATGCATACCTTGTACTCCCCTTCCACTAACTGCAGTCTCTCTACAGCACGATTCACAATGCCATCAATTGTGGGTCTACAGATCAAGATCCTAGTCTGTTTGCCCCTCTCCCTAACAGTGAAAGCAGGCGGCATTGTAGCTGAAACAAAAGAAAATATAAATCTCCTAACCTAAACATGGTGACCGGTGCGTTAACATTCTGCAAAGGCTATTCAGTACAATCTAAGTGACAACATCATAACCTTCAAATCTGACAAGAATGGAAATAAAAACACCGCACTTCAAGTTAGGTTAATTTAACTCACACAGCCTGGTCCCAATTTTTTAATTTTGACTGTTCACAATCAATAAAGAAGACAAGCAAACATTCGGGGCAAACTTAGTGTGAACGAAATGGAAACTCCAAAGTTTTCAGAGAATACATGAAACTAACCTAACTGATTGCGTACAGCCACATCAAACACAACTTTTTTTAATGAGAAGTCAAAAAACTCACTCTGTTCGCTTATCCACGCTTGCGGTGCAGATGCAGCAAATTGACAGGTGGTGAGCCGCACTGTGACGACGTCGTATTGTCGAATGTCGGATCGGAATGCCTTAGCCCGGTTGCAGTTTGCGAGTTGGATTTATAGGCCTACCTGGCTAGGAGAGAGAGAGAGAGAGTGACAACAGCGAGCGCGGAGTGAGTGCACTGCCGCGCCAACTGTCCAAATATTAAAATAAAAATAAAAATTTGGAGGCAAGTGACAAAGAAACTCTAATACTATGAAACAATTGTTAATAAAAGCGTTAAAAGTTAATTTTGAGTCGGAACTTTATCTAAAACTGTACCGCGAAGTAAATGGCACTATGAAGTTCTCGCTATCATGTTGGCAACTAAGTAGTCTTGTATCGTCTGCTCGATTGCTTAGCTCCTCGCTCTCCGGGGGTTATGTGCCACTGTCACACTTTCAGTATTTCAAACTTGTAATTTTCGCACCAAGTTGCTATGGAGGACACGTACACGGGGCACGACGATCGGTGGTTCTCCAATCAAGGAACTCAGACAGAGTTTGATGGCGCCCATAGCGTAAGTTTTACCCTACCTATGAACAAAACCAATGCTGCACATGAGGACTCACAGAAAATGTTTTGATTTAGATACCGGCTGATTTGCAAAGAAGAATTACTGATTTAGAGAAGGAGATAGTCCATATGAAAACACACTGCTTGATCTACCGACATGCTCTGCTGAAGACACCACATGGACTTGAAAGTGTACATTCAACTTTAGAAAGTTTTCTGACGAGGGATAAACCAGTGTGTTCTGATTGCGAGAAGGACGATTTAATTACTGCACTGGCCTGTTTGAAGAAGACTGATGATAGCAGCCCACTTCCAATCCGGTTTACTAATGAAATTGTGTCTCCTATCTTGTCTAGTGGCGGTGCCATGAAGGTGTGTACAATGTTGCTTTCAAGTGAATTTATTTCCTCAGCCACGACCACTAAGTAATATTATTTTGTTTTTCCCATTTGAAGCGACGTAAGCTAATGTCCAAGGAGAAGGAGGAACACCATAACGCACACCGGTAACTTGTCATCTATCAGAGCATCAGCCTAGGCCTAGACATTGACTGCAATATGCAATTGTTTTTAGTTAGTTGATAGATATAAGGATGACTGTGATATTATTCAATTCCATAAAATTTTGTACAGTGAATTCTTATATAGCCCATATCATCCTGACATCATTTAGAGATTAAAAATTGAATATAATATGTTAAAAAGTTTTATTAGTTGACAATTTCCTTCAACAGAGAATTTGTTAAATATTACATACCAAAACAATAGAACATTTTAAAGCAAGGGTACTACTTCTACTTTTGTTGTAAGAAATAAAATGCCTCTAAAGGTAAAACTGAAAAAATTGCTTAGCACTTGGGCGGTCAGGGTTGAAAAGGGGAAAGGGGAAAAAGAGGTGAAAAGGTGGGGGGTGGGGATTCTCACTCACCTACCCAATACGCCTGAGAAAAAGCTGTATCCAAGGGAACCATACAATAACATCAGCAATGTCTAGGAATACTATGGACTTGGACCGGGCCTGCCGGCAGTTTATTGAGGTACCAAACAGAATAGAAGTGAACATTTTCTCTTCCACAATTGAAAATTAGTACATACCAAACGTTACAAGCCTAGCCAACTATTACTATTGGTTTCAGGAGGAAATTATCAGACTGTCACGTTTGATTACACAACTTCAAAGGAAACGTTCGATGTACGAAAGAATCAAGGAATGGCCATCAGATGAACAAGGACATGCAGGTGAGCAAGTATGCACAAACGACGCGACTAGGGGCACGGTGGTCTTGACGGTCTCGACGGTCTCCTCGTGCAATACCCGCGCACAGACGGGGTGGAGGACGGGGGTGAGGGCTCGTCAAGGGCTCGGTGGTCTTCATGGCCTGCTCGCGCAGCACAAACATGCGTGGGCAGGCGAGGGCGGGCGTGGGCGGGCGGCGATGGGCGTGTGCATGGTCACCACGGTCACGGCGGCCTCCTGCTCGCGTAGCTCCCCGAAGGCGCGGCGCGCGCGGCTCTATCTCCACCTTCACGAGGGGTTTCCTGTGCATTCCCCGACCCGGGCTAGCCCCGGCAGGCCCGGCTCCGCCTCAAGGTCACAGAGATGTTCATGGACCTCGCGCTGCTCCACCACCATCACCACCAGCTTGAGCAGCAGCAGGGCGCGCGCCCGCGCCGGCCGCACCCGGCAGGCCTGGCTCCGCCTCAAGGTCGCAGAGGTGTTCATGGACCTCGCGGCGCCTCCGCCAATCACCACCAGCTTGAGCAGCAGCAGAGCGCGCGCCCGCGCCGGCCGCACCCGGCAGGCCCGGCTCCGCCTCAAGGTCGCAGAGGTGTTCATGGACCTCGCGGCGCCTCCGCCAATCACCACCAGCTTGAGCAGCAGCAGAGCGCGCGCCCGCGCCGGCCGCACCCGGCAGGCCTGGCTCCGCCTCAAGGTCGCAGAGGTGTTCATGGACCTCGCGGCGCCTCCGCCACCATCACCACCAGCTCGATCATCAGCAGCCTCTCCCTGCTGCACCTGCAGCAGCACGAGGGGCTGCCCTGTCCACCCCAACCTGGGCGCTGGGCGGGTGCTGGGCGGGCGGGGGCGGGTGGGCGAGCCTCGACTTTATAATCCCCTCCCCCCTTCTCCTCCCCCTTTATATTTTTGGAGGATCTAATATTTTAGGATCTGATATGTGATAATAATTGAAGCTTCCCTAATTTTGTTTTCATCTGTTTCTAGGCTCTGTATATTTCCCAAGCATGAGGAGAAATTTTCGGCACATTTGAAGAACACTTTGGCAGTTGCAGAAAAAGAAATCAGTAAATAACTAAATAACAATTTGGTCATGTATCACAAATTTATTGAAATATGGTGTCAGATACGATTTGTTGCAAACTCTGTTAACATGTTTGTGGTCCACAGCAAAATTATTTTGTAGATAATTGAATAATGATTTGGTGATATATCACATTTGATTTTGAAATATGTTGTCAGATAACAATTGTTACAAAATATGTTAAAATTTTCTCAAAGAATATACAATATTACAAGTCATGAGGACTGCATTTCTTCTGAAACCAGTCCATGCTTCAATTTGACACATAATCTTGACTGATGAGTATACACATGAAGAGGTTCAGCAGAGAGAAGTTTGTCAGGACTGGTGCATTGGTACTTCACGCAATCTTTCAGCACAAAATAACGCATTGAAGAAATGTATTCTGTGGATCTAACTTCCACAACCAAATGTGGTCCATTATCATCAACAAGTAAAAGAACAATTCGGCCCATTGAAACATTTACATTGTAGGCTTCTTGTCCTAGAACAACTACATCTCCTTTCTTATAGGCACTTCCTTTGTAGGTGAATGAGTTGGACTCAAAAATGTCACCAACCAAACACTCTTTGTAGATAGCCATTTGCAAATCAAAGCTATACAAGTCAATATTTAAAATGTTTTTTTCAGATGGTAAAATTTTTTTATAATCTTCTGTCTGACGCTGCAATGTTTGGTAAAGCTGATGCTTCTCAGCAAGTGAAAATGTTGGGTTCTTGAAATTCTTTAAAACTCGCATCACTCTTTTGAAAAAGGAGTGCTTGCTTTCAAATCGAAGAGTCCAACATTTCATTAAGTTTCCCAGCTCTTTTAGAAGTTTTGGGTAGTGAGTCAAGTAATGATGCTTTGGCACTAGTTTCTCCTCTGGAAGTGAAGATACCCTCAATGAAAGATATTCATCAATTACTGACTGCAAGTGTGCAACATATGTTAAATGGATACGTGGCGCAGTGACCATTTCCATTATTTCAATTAATTTCAGAATAGCCATCCATGCAGGATCTGCTACATCTTTGATCTTGTCTCCAATGATCAGAGGATACAATCTTAAAAGAGTCCATACTTGCCAAGCTCCTCCGACCACTCTCTTTGCATCTTCACAGAGAGGTACAGGTTTATCTCTCAAATCAACAGAAGAGTACTTAAAAGTTTCAATTCTGGTTTTTAAGTTACCATAAGTGAACCACTCCTTAGTCTTCACAAAATATTTTGTAAACAGTGCTAAATCTTTAGCAACTACACCTTCATTTAAATCATGACCAAGACAGGGCCCAAGTCCTGGTAAGCAGACGTGGAATGCTTCCAGTTTATTAAAAAGGGAATCTCTCTTAATCCCCTCATAACTTTCCTTGGAACTTGATTGCAGCTTGCGAACAGAATTATTGTAGCTCTCTACAGTTCTCTTAGGGTGTGACTTTTGTAAATAAATTAATGATGACTCAACACTCTCTTCATCGCTGCTGTCTTCAGAGTCAGACTCACTGTCTCCTGAACTATTACCTTCAGACTCAGAGCCCGTGCTTACTTCACTCGTGTCAGCAACGTCATCTTCCATTTCTTCAAGGTTTTCCTCCCTATTATCTCCAACATTAACAGTTTGATTCGAAAAGTTATTCAAATCTTTCCTCTTAATGAGACAGTACCGACAAAAGTATGTTGACCGGCTGAAATTTTCAAGAAAGCCTCCAAGGCTATGACTGCCTAAGTTGTCACCACAAATACATGCAACACCTGCTTTTCTGAACTGATTAGGACTCACCTCAACTCCTTCTTTTTCAAGTTT